TTAAAACGATGTACATGATTTTTCATCTAACTTAAATAATAAGTTGGATAAAAAATTTGGTGACACGTTTTTCCGCGCGGTTGAATATTAGAAATTTCTTTCTAACAAATGACTAATGAAATATGTACTAGTAGTTAAAAAGATAATTATAGAAAAGTAGAGTCTTAGCCCGTGGGTCTCCGAAAACAGCAACCTTCTCGCGGTGAGACCTGGGTCGATATTGCTTGCGATCTATTCCAAATCTAATTGTAAATTATGTAACGCAAGTACTATCGGGCGAATGGCTGTGTTAGATTCAATTTAAACTCATTTACATGTTTAAATTATTATTAACTTTTTAAGGTCCTTCTGACAAATGAATTTTATTACAAATAATCAAATGAATGTTAGATTTATCAAATAATTTGTTAACTTAGAGTACATTATATAATTTATGATAGAAATAATTGCTCAAGACTAAAAATAGAAATCTTTGAATTATTTTGGAAGCAGGCTTTCAAACGAAACAAAAAATTTGCTATTCATTTATTTTTTTTTTTTTTTTTTTATTAATTTTTCATTCATTTATCGTTTTCTCGATAAACGACAATTTCGCAAAAAAAGTTTCATTAACTTTAGCTAATTCATTTCATCCTTTAAACCGTACAAGTGTATAGTTCCCTTCGGTGTGTCTTAATTAAAATTTCGCGATGTAAAATTTTCCGTCGAGGACATTCAGTTTTACACATGGCTTCTAAATTGGATTTCAACTTTTATGGGATCACCCTTTAGCATTATTTTTATTTCAACTTAAATAAATAACAATAATTAATTATTTAAAAAATAATATACGTAAATTTCATAATAATATTCGCAGTAGTTACGATTGATAGATTAAAAATTTAAACATTATCATTTCATTCTATTTCTACTCTTTTTTTTTTTTTTTTCTTTGCTATTACGAATAAAAAACAATTTACTTTCAATAATAAAATATCTATAAAAGGGTAGAAATATTTGATTGATCGGTAAAAAAAAGGGGAAAAATAATAATAATAATAATAAAAAAAAAAGATATTTTCCGATTGAAGCTCGTTCATCATCGATGGGAACAGGTGCAAGAACAATTACAATAATCCGCAACTAATGTTACAGCGTAAGAATAAATATCCTTCATTTCCGATGACGCAGCTGATTCTTCCAACCAGGACGAATTTACGTGTCTTGCACTTTTTGGAACGTCTTGAAAATCCTATAACAATATTTAATTACATATACCATATAATACAATGCATAATTGATTAAAAAAATAAAAAAAACATGTTTAGCAATCGTTGATTTTTCGGAAATTATTCATATTTGTAAAGAGAAAATCAATAAATATCGAATATATGTTTTCTAATTCATGACTTCCTACGGGCTATGGGATTTATTTGGTAATTGCTACGACATCGTGTAAAGGTTAATTGGCATAAACCATGGATGATTAAATCCAGTAGACATCTTGTAGGCTAGGCAAACTATTAAACGATGAAACACCTCGCGGTAATGGCTTCGGAATTAACTCTCTACGATTAATCTCGTTAGTGTCGTATCCCATATACGAGGGAATCGATTAAATTTGCCGCTCTTTTCGTAATCATCCAATCGTAAGATAGTAACAAATTTGCGCCAAAATTCAATTGTGATAAAAAAAAAGACATTTAAAAAAAAATAAATATAAAAATGTAAAACATATTAAATAACTGAATCAATAAATGTTAATGTGATAGAAAAAAGATGTCTGAAATAATAAATGATGTGAACATATGAAAATTGTTGTTTACATTAATGAATATTAATAAAAAAAAAAAAAAAAATATTAATTTCACAAACCCTTAGAAGTGTCGATGAAATTTCTTTACGATCGTGAATCACATGAGTAGATTTGCATCGATCCGAGTCTTTCAAAATAATTGCTCCAAGTCTGATCATTTTGTAATTTTTACTAAGGAAAATATACCTCATTTAAATGTTTATATTAATAATAATTTTTAAAAAAATCTTCAAATATTTTTACCAACAATTTCTAAATCTGTTATATCCTTGAATTGTTCTTTCTTTCTTTCCTTTTTTTTTTTTTTTCCTTTAGAATAATTAACGATATTTAAAACTACTCATAAACGAACACACAAAGCTTGGCATAAAAAAAACTTTTGTCATTCTAAATGAAAATAAGAAAAAGAAAGAGAAAGAGAGAGAGAGAGAATAATTCTACAATATATCACTTAAGTATAGTAATTCATCAAATATGTTCTGTTTTCTGCGCTATGGTCAACGAGATGATATTACTTACAATTAGACGAAACATGTAATTTATCATTCCAAATGAAAATAAGAGGAGACGAGAAAGAGAGAGAAAGAGAGAGTACTAGAGAACTAGAGAACCATAAAATTACATTAATTATACACACTTACATGTATATATACTAAATCATCAAACAAATTTCTATCTTATGTATATTTGACCAGATCAAATTACTTTCATCACAAATATACCATTAAGTTAATAAAGTTTAACTGAATGGTGTTCAATATCTAATTGTTATTTGATTTTTATTATTAAAAATAAGTAAAATGCACAAGAAAAGAAAATAACGATTAAAATAAGAATATTTCTATATATTCGTTTAATTCTTATATTAAAAGGATACATTTAATTGAATTTTTTGTTAATTTTCAAAATCATTATCATACACCGAGAATGTTGGATTATTCTACAGTTACCTAGCTTAATAAATTTAAATAAAAATTTGAGATGATGCATATAGGTATGCTCGTCGCATATTTAATTATCTTCATTTGAAAATAATTAAAATTTATATGCACACCCACACACGTGGGAAGGGTATATGTACTGTCAAAAAGTTTCGATCATATTACGTTTTTCAACGTATTCCATATTTTTTATTTTCTCTCTCTCTCTCTCTCTTTAACTTTATCCTTTTCTATTTTTTATATTTATTTATTTATTTTTTTTTATTATTTAGTTTGAAAAAAACTCTCTTAATAACGATAGCTCGGGAATACTTGAACGCATTGCTTTTAACTGTATATACATATTGCATATGTAGTATCGATCATGTCATTCGTAAATCACGATACTGTCACATGCATAAATATTCTAAGTGGACTTCTGCTATTCAGCAAATATAAAAAGAAAAAAAAGAAAAAAAAGAAAAGGATTATAATACAGGACGTGTCAAAAGTTCTCACAGGTGATATTAAAAATCAATTATTCATTTTTAAAATTCTCTCTTTGAGATAATTGTTTAAAACTGTAAAAACGCGTAGTGAAAATTTTTCTAAAGTAAGCAAAATATGGTAAAAAGAAAAAAATTAACATATTATAATTGATTTTTAATATAATAAAAAAATGTTGAAATAATATTGAAATATAGAAAAAGGATACGTTTTCAATTCTCGCCAAAGACGTTTTCGTCTTTTCTTTTTTATATCTTGCGCCAAGGTAACACGAACTTCCCCAAAAATACCTTTTGATTTCTGTAATTAAATATGATTTAAAATTCAATGTTACAAAATAAATAGCACAGCTTTTTTTTTTTTTTTTTTTGAATAAAATAGAAAAGTGAATGGTCAATGTTATCGATAACAGTAAAAGTGCATTTTGTGAGTATGTTATCTTACAAGTACATCCTCCATATTGTCAGATAAGGGTTGAGCGTCAAGTGGTAATCCCTTTTCCGGCTTTCGATCCTTGATCCAATTTAAAGGGCTTCCTCTTTCGTTGTATTCGATGTACTAATGTTAGAGAAAGAAAAAAAAAGAAAAGCAAACATTTGTTTACGTTTCAATAGAATTTATTAAATGTAAAAATATATTTAGAGAGAGAATAATTATTAACAAATAAACAGAAATTACACGTACATCATTTCCAACGAAAGAATAATATTTAGCAGATGAATCATCTTGAAAATCAAGTTCAGTCTCTACTATGGATTTTTCATTGTGTAAATTTACATCTGGACAAACTTCTTTTTTTATTTTAATATCAGGATCGAAAAGATCTGGTTCTTTTTTTACCTTAACATTCTTTTCGTACTTTTCAATATTTTTCTTCATATTTGTCTTTCCTGTACTAGTACTCGGTTCATTAATATGAAATTCTTTTTTAACACGAATTCTAGATTTTACATTTGTAACTTCTTCTTGGATATTTTCGTTATCATTGTCAAAACTTGTATCTTCAATTTTTATTTTTTTCGGAGAAATATCTTTTTTAACAGTAACTTTGTTAGAGATCGTAGTTTGATTGTTTTGAGTAGAACTAGTCGAAGCAACAACATCGGTATTTTTCTTCTCGCTTAAATCAAATAATAAAAAAAAAATATATTGTTCATAAAACATGTTTCATTTTAAAAGCATAAGGTTCATTCTTTCGTGTTAATTCTCACCTGTTATTATTGGTACCCAAAAGAATACTAAAGTCCAATGATTCCGAACTTCTTTTAAACAAATCACGAAGTTCATTTAAATTCGTAGCAGTAGACCAATCCTTGTCATCGCGAATTCGCGTTACTCGTGGAAATCTAATACTAATTCCGTCTGCCGTATGTACACCTTGATTTGTAAATTCTGCTCCAGTGATTTCCCATACTGGTTGTTTCTAAAATCAAATATATAAAGAAATAAAGAATAAACATATATTTAAATAAAATGATTGATATAACGTGTTCTAATCACCTTTGGATCTTTTGCAACAAAGTCTGGAATCATTGGTTTGTTAGCTCGTAACCATTTTGGAACCTTGCTAGGATCTTTACCTATTTTAACCATATCAAGTTGTTTTTGAAGAGTTTCTAACATTGCATCATCATGACCAGAATGTACCTAATTAATTAATAATCTTTTATTATTTATCATGTCTATTATACAATTTTATTTTGTAGCATTGAAATTTGATCTTTTAATTCGCTCACTTTTGTTACTGTTAACCATTTATCATTATCAGTGTCATAACAACCCATAAGAAATATAGACATCATTCCTCCTAAAAAAAAAAAAAATTTTCAAATATTATTTTAAATTAAAAAAAAAAACTGTAATATCGACATTGATAATGTAGAAACCTTTTTGACCGGTACCATACCAAGCACCGAGAACAACGAGATCTGCACTGTCGGCCATTGCACCACCGAATAAATAATCCTTCTTTACCTTCAACCAATGTCTTTTACCAGGTTCATATTTACTCTACAATTGTTTATTTAAAATAATTATTAAGAAATTAATTTGCGTACAAAAATACGTACTTTAATATCTTTCAAAACTAATCCTTCGAGTCCCAATCTCAAAACTTTAGCAATCATCTCTGCCAAATCTTTAGGATCCTAAAATCACGATAAAATAATTACATAAAAATGATGATCTTTATCCAAAGATATACAAATTTCAAACAAAATTTATTTACATGAACTTCTTGAGCTTCGGACAACATTATTCTGTTAGGTATCTCTGTCATGCTCCTCTTCAAAATCTGTCTTCTTTCTATCATAGATCTAAAAATCAATGTAACGTTATCAACAATTTCACAGAATATTTTACAGAATTATTTTATTTCTACTTACTTGTCAATAAGTATTTCCCCGTTATAATAAATACAATCAAATACAAAAAGACAGACATTTGCGTCCTTAAATTCTGATTTCTGCAACATCATGAGTAGAAATAAGTAACTAAATGGCAATGACAATAATTATATAATTACATTTACCTTATGTACACCTAAACTTCCAAATGGTAATGGTTTTCCAGTTTCATTATCAATCAGAAGAATTTCAGAATCGAGGATTAAATCATCACCATTTGGAAACGCTTTAGGAATGTAATCTTTAAAGTGTCTTATCTGAAATTTCATTATTTATTATTTATTATTTTACAATTATCTTCAATAATTTTCATTGATAAATCATAAAAGAATGAATTAACCTTATGCGCCATCACCGGTTTAAGTGATCGACTAAAGTATTGAAATTCAGAACCCCTTTTATGTACTTGAACACGTTCCCCATCATATTTAATTTCAGATAACATCCCATTAGAACACTTTTTCATTGCCATTTCAATAGATTTGCATGCTTCTGCCTATAAATAAAATTGTTATGCTAGTAGTTATCCGTGTAACGAAAAAAAAAATATATCTAACAATTTATACTTACCAACATTGGTAAAACAGGAGTCATTAATGACAGAGATACCTTGCTACCACCTGGTGAAGTTAATATTGTAGTTCCCTTCTTAGAAATTGGTGAGGGTAAAGAAGTACTTGGTACAAATCGTTCCACGACTGTTTCCAAGTTCATTGATACTTGAAATGCTTTATATGCATCCTCGTGAACTGCACCAAGACTATTTTATTATAAATAATAAATATAGAATAATTTTTTTTTTTTTTTTTATATAAATTGTATCTTGCATAATCATAGAAAGAATTAGGACAAACAAATTAACTTACATATGTTTAGGACCAGCATTTATTCGAAGATCGTGTTTTATAAGTCGTATGATCATTTTCAAATCATTTCCTGTACACCTAAAAGTAATATAATACAAATTATTAAAAATGTTTATTTAAAATAGACGAAACTTTTGTTTGTTTTTAAATAATACATCACTTACCTACCAATAATGGACTTAAAATGATTGATTTGTTCATCCTCTTTCGTTAAATGTGACAATTGTTCGAGAAATTCGTCAACCTATAATAATTTATGGTTTCATTGAAAAATAAGAATAAATATAATAATTTGTAATAATCCATTGTATTCATTTTTTAAAGAGACAAATTTTATCGTATAGAAGAAAGAAAAAATGTATATTAGATTTGACGAGAGTGGATTTGAAATAGAACGAGAAAATATACATTTTTTTTTGAGGGGTTGGCTTAAAGAAGGGTCGATTTGTTCGTCCAGAAAAGAAGAAAAGAAAAAAAAGAAACCGAGAAAAGTCTCGTATTTTTTGTTTTCCTTTTGATTGAATTCAAAGAAGGGTCTGGACGACCAAAATCCTACCTTGACCACGACACATATTGTTTTGAGAATTGTTTTATTCAAAATAGAGATTTTGTATGAATAATAAAAAAAGAATTCATTTAATCGACTATAATGTTAGATTTTCTGATCCCTAAGGGACAAGATATAAACTATCCTATCTTTCAAGTTGGATAAAACTGCACACAATGTGTAAAATTTGATTAAAATTGATTCAGTAGTTTAGGAGTCCATTGCGGACAAACAACGTAAAACGTAATTTAT